TCAGGGTTTGGGGTTTAGGTATTAGGGTTTAGGGTTTAGGGCCTAGGATTTAGGGTTTAGGAATTCCCAGGCGCCTTCCAGACAGGACAGTCCCTCCAAGAAAAGTCTGAGGTTCCCATATCATATCAATGCCTTCTAAGATTCCTTCTGAGGGAGTCTGTCCTATCAGGGGTCCCTAGCAATCTACCATGGCAGACATGTGTCTTCGAGTTCCATGAAGGGGATCGATTCGGTGGATGGAGAAATTCTGGCACCACTTAGGATGCCCTGCCCTGTCATGAAGGTGTGCAGGTTGTTGATTTCCTCCATTGACAGACCAGGCCATGCCGAAATACTGGTGAGGTGGCACTCTACCAATTTCTGACTGAAAGTTGGATAGCCTTCGTCTTCCGTTCCTGCACTTCTTGAATTTCTTTGAAATTAACTTGCCCCGATAACCTTGTTTGTAATCCCTGAATTGCCCGAGGGTCCCCACAGACCCCCGTTTCTCGAGAAGCCCTACTTGACTTGACCTTGTGAGTCAGACACCTGCAGAGAGAGCAATTTGAGGCGCCTCACCAAGAAGATCCGTGACCTTAACACGGAGATTAGCACCAGCGACAGGGCCTGAGTGAACATCTAGACTATCATCATATCATCATGTCTATAAGCGCTGTGATTCTTTTCATTTCAGCTGCTCATTCTGGTGCTGATGATCCTCACAGTGTCACAGCATGCCGCCACCATTCCACTACTATGCCAACAGCACGGCTGCCGCCGTGCCAGTGCCGCCACTGCTCGAACCACAACCCTGACTACGTCTGCGAGTGCTAGTAAGAACAATACTGACAATAGTAATAATATACAATAATGACAATAATATATAAGTGTATTGATATTATCATTGCTAACATTCTCGTTATTTTTCATTACAACTGCTGCCGCAACTTCTTGGCCTCCGCCACCACCGCCATCACCACTACCGCGACTACCGCTGCTACCCCCGCCTACTGCTACTTGTACTACTCATACTACTGTGTCAGGTCAGTTTTAGCATCAGGCACAGGGCTGTTTGTGTTTGTTGGCATTATTGTTCTGCCCCGTATGTCACGACACCAAGGCACAGAATGTGCAGACCGCCCTTAGCACGGCGGCTGAGGATCAGAAGCAGATCGCCGTCCTCCGGCACCTTGTTGGGAATTCTGAGTTTTGGCCATTCTGGGCCACAGTCTAACTCCTAGAAGTAGGGTTATATTGGGGATTAGATAGAGTCATTATTATAGGGACTATTAAGGGGGATACTAGGAGTTTAGACCATGGTTCTTCTGGGACGAAGTGTTTCACAAAACACGTGGCGTAAATTCCTTGTATTATGACAGAGGCTACACTATACCTAGGAGATTTTTCCTTCGAATTTCAGAGGCCCTGATAGGTAAGGTCAACCCCCCAAAAGCGCTATGGCTTCCAATGTATTCCCTCAAGACTAAGCTTTCGATGTTTGGAAATCCCCATGTATTCTTCTTTAAGGGACGACACTTTTGAGAGTCCTAAACCCTAAGCCCTGAACCTTAAGCCCTTAACCTTAAACTCTAAGCCCTAAACCGCACTTTCCGCAGGCAGGAGATTGAGGCGAAGCAAAAGCAGGTTGAGGAGACCAATCGCAAAGAGGAGCAGGCTGTGGGTTTGATGAGTTAGGGTTTAGGGTTTGGAGTTTAGGGTTTAGGGTTTAGGGTTTGGAGCTTGGAGTTTAGGGTTTAGGCGGGCTGGAAATTTGAGGCTTCTGTTCAGGGATTCAGGGATACAGGGGGAATGTAATAGAATGAAGGTTTTAGGGATTCGGGTTTGCAAAATTAGGGCCGCGGATGCAGGGGTTTCGGGTTTCAGGTTTAGGCGTTCGGCTCAGGGGCTCGGATTTCTGGTTTGGGGGTTTGGTTCAGGATTTTGGGTTTCAGGTTCAGGGTTTGGTTTGGGGACTTAGGTTCAAGGCTTAGGGTGTTCGTGCGGGGATGCAGGTGATCTAAAATATGTAATCCGTTGGTTACCGAACTTGGTCAGGATTTGTAGCATATAGGGTTTAGGATTTAGGTGTTAGGGTTCAAGTTTGTCTCACAAACCGAACTTTAGCTGGACACGGAATCATGTAAGCACTTATTCACAGCACGTAAACCTGGACTACGCCAAGCTTGAATTTGAAGCTCAGTTCATGAACCCCAAAGCCGAACTCTGCAAGCCTTAAACCCTGAACCCACAGCCCACGCCCCTTAAACCCCAGGCCGCAAAACCTCAAAGCTTAAACCCTGAATCCTGAGCCCTAAGACCCAATCTTGAATCTCGCAGAAAATGTAGAGAAGCAGCCAAGTTCCCGGATCAGAGGCCAGAAGCCCTAAGCCAAAACCCTGAGCGCCGCACCTGCCGCAGACCAAAGAGACCATCAGCAAGCGGAAGAATGAGATTGAAGACCTGATCTCAAGGTGCCACCTGGAAAGAAGGTTTAGGATATAGGGTTTAGGTGCCAACTGCTGCCAAACACTCTGTGGTTCTGAAAACCGTCTCTACAACCTCCATCAAAAGAACTTTTCCTGCCAGGGTCTAAGGGCATGTAGAGAGAAAAAGGATGATTTCGTACGCGCAACCCTCAAGATAAAGTCCCCGGACTGTAATCATAGAATCCTCATTGTCGATTGGGGTTTGGGTGGAAGACGGGCGGCCAACTACATCCTAATCAGCCGTTGATACGCACGTGGAGTTTAAGTCTTAAAGTTCACGGATTAGGGTCACGTACACACTCACTACTCTCCTCACAGCTTGTGGAACCCCAAAGGGGGCCAAAGATTGTGACCCTCTCACCAGGGGTTAAGCCGTATTAGCCCTTTAGCCTCCGTTGCAAACCCTCTGCCTCAGGATAGAGCAGGGTGCCGGCATGTCTGAGGAGCAAGAGTTCCAGCCAGGGCCTTGCCTTGCCTTCTGTTGGGGCTTAGAGTTTCAGGTTGAGGGAGTTTGGGGCTTTAAGGTCTAGGGGTTTGAGGATTGCTGAGTATCTATTCAGATGAATCGGGCGCAGCCCCTTTCATCAAATTTCCAAACCGTTTTCAAAGCGATGCGTAGTGACGATTTACATGTCCGTTCTGTCACCCTGCAGCCTCCAATTTGGGATGGTTGATCGTGCTGAGGGGATGGGGCTTCGCCCTCACCCAAGCTAACATGGTAGCCTAAAAGGGGCCCTACAAAGGCTTCTGTCCTTTGAGAGGAGTTGCGGGCTTCCATGTTATGTTTTTGGGGAGCGTAGCGCTTCGGGCTTAAGCCTAGATCCTAAACCTTAAACCGTATGGAGTTACAGGCAGAATCGGCAGATCGCGGGTTCGTAGCGGACGCTTGCTCAGGAGTCCTATAGAGCAAGCAGGTACTTCTGCATGGCAATTTTTGTGGAGGTCTCTAAGCCCTAGACCTTAAACCATTCATGGTTTAGGGTTCAGGGTCCCAACCCTACTTCCTAAACTGTTTGGGAATGGAAAGGAAATCACTTTTGGCCCGCATTGTTGGTGCGAGGGGCAGGCCCCGGAGATACTGGAAGGGGTTGAAGACCTACTCTTCAGTGCCGTAAGTGCCCAAATTAGGAGTGCCTTTAAATATATACGGGTATATAGGGATATATAGGGTTTTCTCCTACCTTTTTCGGGGCCCCTACAATAAGGTCTATAGTATTCTATGTGTCTTTGTTGGGGTCCTCCTATTTAAGCAAACAGCCATATTTCACAGCATTTGCATGGACTGCTTAGGTGGCTTAGGGTTTGCAGAGTTCTTGCCTGTGCAAAAATCATTTTACCGTCTGCAGCTGGCTTTAGGCTGTAAGGGTCTATGTTATTAGTGTAGGCCCTAAGCCCCAAAAAACCTTATGCCCCAAACCCTAAACTCTAAACGCTAAACCCTAAAGAGAAGGTACCAGGTACCAGGCTCCAACCCCTGAATCTGATTGGCGCGTACTGGAGAGTTGGGGAGGGAAAAAAAATCTCAAGGGATGTTGTATAGGTAGAATTCCTTTGATAACACCAGGTATCCCCATTGCTAACCTGCCTACTAAGTCTCCCAGACCCTACAAGTAAGCACCAGCGACAAAAAGGATGACTTCTGCACGCTGAGGCTGAACCAGCTGATCGGCCAGAGGGTCCGCCGAGGGGATTCCATGGTTTTCGGGTTTGAGGGCTTGTAGGTAGGGTGTAGGATTTAGGGTTTAGGGCGTTGAGTGTTCAGGGTTCAGGATTAGGGTGCAGGATTTAGGGATTACTAGCTCAGGCACAGGGTTTCCCTCCCTATGCCCGAGCTATACACCCTAAACTCTAAGCCCCCGATCTCCCTGTAGCTGAGTACAGGGCTGCTTCGATTCGATGTGTGATTCAATCCTAAACGCTAAACACTGAACAGGATCTCTCGCTTTTGATTCATTTGCTGGATCCTCCTGCCAGGGTTTAAGGTTTAGGGTTTCCTCCTGCAACTGAGCATCCCTGTCTGTTGCAAATGAAGACATGGTAGTTTCCAAAAATTGGGGGGTGGGCATTATAGACCCCAACATGCTATACTCCTTATTCGGGGGACCCCTAATTTTTGGCAACCTCCTCATCCATCCGGATACCTGCAGGCCTGTGAGCACCTGAGACGAGTATCTACAGATCCCAACCCTTTTGAAGAACGTATCGTGTACTGCTATGTCAGAAGCTGAGTGAAGGTCTCCATACCAAGACTTCAAAGCACCCCCCCCGGGCAAGATGGCTTTGGAGCACGGTGCCATCCGGGCAGCCACCCCTAGAAACCAGCCACTAACTAACTTTCCGCAGCGACTGGGACGCCAAATTCTAGGCCCAAAAGTACAACCCCGCGAACGTCAACTATGCACCTCCACTGTATCTAAAGCCCGCCTCAAAGCAGAAACATGATTCCGTAGAATCCGAGGCGGTTTACCAATGAGCATGTCGACAGGAGCAGCTGGAGAAGGATAAAGAGCTCTTGAAGCAGAATACCGAGATGCTTCAGAGGCGCTCAAGCGTGGAGGGTTGAGGGGCTTGGCCCCGCTAATGGAGACAAGCAGTACTCATGTCTAGGGTTCAGGGTTCAGGGTTTAGGATTAAGGCAAGATCTTCTTGGAGTACCTGGTTTGCACCCTGTAGGTTGTAGGTCTGATATTGAGCGGATCCGAACTCTAGATTGCTGACAGGTGCTGGTAGCAAGCAAGAAATGCCTAACCAAGTATGAACCATCCAATGAGCCGCTGCTGAATTTTGCCGGCTTACTGTTAAGGATCATAAATCAAGTTACAATTCTACGAAAATGTTAGTCTTTACTATAAATCCATATCATTGTAATTTCATGTATGCTCCTCACCCAGTTTTCTGAATCGGGAAGAGTTAGGGACCCCGAAGAATTTGAAAAGGTTTGTCTTGCTGGGCATAGCAAAGTTCAGATGGCAGTAAGATGCGCCACGAAGCCTCCTCTAAACCTCAGGTCCCCAAACCCAGTTGGGTTCGCAGAACCACCCCAGAAGCAAAGCCCGGACTTGTTGGGGCCGGTGAGCTTTGTAACAAGCTTGCAACAAGACTAATCGCAAAGCCCTACATTCCACAGCCCACACTGTGAGCTGTACGCAGCAAGCCCTGCATCGTACACTCTTCCCCTCAAGCCCCACACCCGAAACCCTCCCCTCAACAATTGAATCCTCGCAGGATCACCCAGGGCCGTCTAGACGAGGTCTGCGCTTCAGCAGCTTTTCCTAGTATGTCAAGAGGACCTGCAGGTTTTCAATTTGGATTCAATTTTGGGTGCATCTTCTGCAGTTTCATGAACCTACACCGTGGCAACTCAGCCAGACCAAATATAATCCCGGAGACGCCATGGGTCCCCTAAAGCCCCCCATTTTGAGCAACTTTCAATTGCAAGATTCTGGGGCTGTTATAGGGTGGGGACAGGATCGAAACCAATGGGAATCTGCATTGATGTTTCCGAGAAAACGCAGGGTTTCTTCACATCCCCCAAGACACGTGGGGGTTTTCTTGAAAGACCTTGTAAAGGAGGGACCATTGGCAATGCACATCCTTAAAGGGAAGTATTAACTTGAAAGGGAACCTGCCTAATGGCAATCTTTGGGACAGGTATTTTGAACAACTATCAGGTATATCCCCATTCAGCTTGAATCAAAGCAGGATCCATTGCCCTAAACTCTGAATCCTGCTCCTAATCCCTAAACCTAAATCCCAGACCCTTAACTCTAAACCCTAATCCCTAAAGCCTAAACCCCAAACCCTTGAGAAGAACTGACGCTCCTAAACCTCAACTTGTTCAGAGGCTCCAAGCCAGGATGCTGTTTTCGTAATCTCCTCCCCTAAAATTTAGGATTCAGGGTTTAGGTCTTGGGGCTTAGGGCTTAGGGTTAAGGGTTAAGGGTTCAGGGTCCCCTTATAGTCAAGCCCCCTTACACCCCCTGAATATTTGATATTCCCATTGTGGGAGAATGACATATTAAGGGGGGTTGGAGGGGGTCTTTGATAGTGGGGGAGGGGGCATCTGAGGTTTCTGAATTTTTTTGGGTTCCTTTAAGGTTGATACATGCGTAGGGTTTTTCGGCATCGGATTTTCTCAACAATGTGGATTTCTTTGATTTTTAGTGTCCTCATTCCGGGATATTCATAGGTTGGGACAGAGAAATGGCACTCCAAACGACTTCAGGGCGTAGCGTGGCAACCCTAAACTCTAAAGCCCTACTGTTGATGCAAAAAGTCTTGCATAACCTTAGTATACCATGATACCATAATTCCCAATCTTTAGGATGCTTAGGGGTCATGCAAGATTTTTTTCCGGCAAGGAGGGGTTTCCCTCTGGGAGTCTCTACAGTGGATGGAGGAAATCTTGCACCACTTGGGATCCCCAAAGCAGTATACATGATCAGGATATGGGGCTGTATCAGGTGGTGCAAGGTATCCTCCTCCCACAGTATCATGATGACTATTATGCATGGGGGACCCCTGGAGAACCCCACATTGGCAAACCCCAAACTCCAAACCCGAACCTCAATCAGACCTCAAGTGGTTCAGGGTTTAGGGTCCCAAAGCTCTAAAACCTAAAGAATGTAGTGGCTTACATTTTCTTTTTCGAGCCTTCACTTCTTGCTAAGTCCAGCTAAACCCGATATCCTACTTGACTATAAAGCCTTATACACCCTCGGTTTTTTCATTTTCGTTTCCATGTTCGTTGTCTCTTTGATTCTCCACTAGTTGAATTACATCAGGCCTTACCTGAGCCTGATAGCCTAAACAGCAAATTCTAGGCCCTAAACCAAGTTAGCTTGCTGTGTGGCAGGTCCAGCACTTGGAGAAATCGTTGTCGGAGGCCGAGGCGCGCGCACTTGGGAGCGCTTCGTGATTTGGGGCTTTTTGGAGCTGTTGGGGATCATGTGAGACTTTTAGGCATCACTAAGCTCTTCAGGGGTTTGGGGTCTTTCAGCCTACGACTTGGGGCTGGAGCTTACAGGGTTTGGGTTGAGGTTCGGGGTTTGGGGCTCAGCGTGAAGGGTGTTGGGTATATGGGCGTCTCAACGCGAGACTTTGTGCTTCAACCCCCGCAATTTGTTTTTCACTGGTCGTCGGCCTTCGCCTCAACTGTTTAGCTATGAGGTTGGTGCGGATCCTTGCTAAGGTGTCTACCCAACAAAGCATGAAGCCAATCAGGCCGAAGTAGAGATCTTGTATATCATGTGAGAGCCACTCTTGATACTAACAGTCCTGCGTCACTTTGGTATACTATGGCACCATAATTCCGAAGGTTGGGAGTACTTAGGGCCATGCAGGAAGTTTGTTATCCGCCGTGCTTACACAACCTCCTACTCTCTGCCAGACGGACATCCTAGTCTGCCCCCCATACCCAGAACTTCTGCCGTTTTCCTTCCGGTCAGTTTAGAACCTTTGGATTTTGCAGACTTCTCAGCTTTGTGCCTCAGCTTTGTGCCAAACACGTGCTCCAGTTGAACTTGAGTGTCCAGACCAAAAGCGACCAGGAAAAAGAAGTTGTGATGGAGATGAAAGTGCGTGATCAAGAAGAAGAACAAATTTCCTGGCAGATGAACCCTAGCGCTGGTATTGTCGACACCAAATCATGCACCACCCCCAACCCCCTGACAGCCCATAGCTTAGGCATCTACTTTGAAGGGGTGATGCAGCATGCCATGAAGGAGTCATTGGAGGAGTATGCTCTCGGAGTGCAGCGTTCATACTAGGGACCCATACACGCGCTTTCTATGTGTCCTGCATCCTACAAGAACTCAACCGAACCCAGGAAACCCCATAAGACTCCTTCCAGAGGCCCGCTAGCAGCACCCTAGAATCTGTGCAGAGCGCCAGGGACAGATCTTGGTCATGAAGGAGAAGATTGCAGAGAAGCGCGGCGAGGCGTCAAACCTCTCCGTTTGTGGCTTACAGAGGTTATAAGTAAACTTACTAGGTCCCGCTGACCCGGAACAAACAAGCCCTAGGGTTGATGCCGGTGTTGCAGGAAGTCCTACATGTAGGATCCTAAACCATTGCGTTTTTTTTAGGGGATCCATGGTATGTAAGATGGTGCAAGATTTCCTTCATCCATGGCAGGGCAGGTTAGTGTCAGCAGTTCCTGTTCTCTCCATACTGGGAGGGCCTTGAGGTCTAGGGTTGTTGGAGGTTTCCCAAATTTAGGGTATTTTTTTTTGGGGGGTCCCCATCAGAGGGACTATAGTATATTAGGGTCTATATAGGGTCCCCCTCTTTTGGGAAATTATTGTATATATTCATCCTTACCTTGAACTGACCCTCCTCCTCCCGAAAGGTCGAAGTCGCAAAGCGTCAGAAGGATGAGTTGGAGCAGAAGATGAAGGCACCAGTGTGTTGTGAGTCGGCAGGGGTAGGGTTAGGGTTTCTGATTTACACAAAATTCGGGGTCTTCCATAGGTTTTGTTAAAGGTTTTGTTGAAGGTTTCTCAGGAGGATGCATTGGGGGCTGAATGGTTCAGAAGTAGAAAGGTGAGGGCGCTTGCAGGTACATTTCAAGATTTGGGGCCCTAGTGTGCGGCTAAACCAAGAAGCACGAAGCACTGAAAACGCTTTCTTGCCAGCCCTCAGCTTTTGAGACTTACATGTTTTGGGGGCATTCCCAAAATTAGGAGTCCTTTCTTTGAACCTTTTGGGGCCGTTGAAGGGTTCATCCTGTTTAATCCTGAAGCCAGAAAGGCTGGCTTGACTTTAATAGTGGGCCATGACTGACAGATATCCCCATATATGAAATGCCTGCACTTTACACATTCCTCGTATCCAAGAATGCTGATGGCTAAACCTTGAACCCAATAAACCCTGAATCTCTGGCCCGCCCTAATTTCCCTCACCTCTATGTCAGGGGCACTTGGCAAGTAGGTTGATACCGGGTCCATAAGTGTACTTACTAAGCCCCTCAAGCAGGACCTCCGTGAAGAGAATGACCAGAGACAGGAGGAGTTGGCAGCCGCACGGAGGCCACTCAGGGGTTGGGTGGCTACACGATGTACTCTGGGGGGTGTGAATCCTCAATCCGAAGCCCATACTCCCAAACCCTAGAAGCTCTCAAATACATCACCAGTATCCGTGGACAAATCCAATTCAAACCCCAAATCCCCAAGAACTTGCAGAGCCGCCAGGATCTTCTTAGGGCTTGAGGTAGGAGCAGCTACCTGGTAGCTCCCTTGCTGAAGAATTTCTTAGACAGATTCCTATGCCCAATATCCTGGGAGCCAAGGGGTCGACCTAAACCCCCTAAACCTCAACTTACTTGTGGTTAGAAGGGAACACGGGAATATAGTCCCTATATGATCCCGAGAGAACGTATTCCTTTACTCCCTGGTAACCCCAATATGTACTTTATTAAAGTCTTTTCGATTATCATAATATAGCCCTAATTTATAAGACATATGTGTACTCATCACGCGGGGTTCACCTCAGAGCCCTACCGGGTTCGCGGAACCTTCGCGGGGTTTGTAGAACCCTTCGGGGCGTTTACCCTGTTTGGGGGTTCGGTGAAGCCTCTGGGGTTCGGCTACCTTCGGCTAACCTTTTGTGGGTTCGATAAACTTCGGCTTAGCGTAGGGGGGTGTACTCACAGTGAGGTGTACACATTGAATTCTCCAGCCCCAATCCCTAATCCCTAGACCCTAAGCCAATGTTATTGCAGCAGACTCTTTGAGGAATATTGCCACGGAGCAGGCAGAGCTGCGGAAGATCCAGCAGGCAGTAGGAGGGTTTAGGGTTTAGGGGCTATAGAGTGTAGGGATTAGGACGTAGGGTTTAGGGATTGAGGTGTAAGGTTTTGGTTTTTGATCGTGGGAATTTCCGAGCTGCCCGTCAGATAGTAGGGCTCGAGCGCTCCTGAAGCAACAATGCAGACAGGTCGTGGAAATAGCACGGTGGGTACAACCACGAACCCATGGTTTCTCTATATGTCCACATAATGATAATTTAATTTGGGGTTCTCAACAGCAAGCCAGTCGAGCACAATCCTGCGAATACTCCGGAGGATTTCGCCGGTATGTTAGCATGAGCTGGGTCCTCTTGATCTTACATTTTTGTTGCGTCTGCTTTGCGCAAGTCAAGTGCTATATCTGAGGACCTCCGGAGGCATGTGCTATGCCCCATGCGGCAGACGTGCATGAAGCGAAGCGGAGAGATGGCGGGTGGCCGGTCATATTTTTAAAGTAAAGAACCTGGTCAGAGGACTGTCTGGGACGCATACCATCCTAGATCCTAAGTCCTAGACTAGACAATCCAGACCTGGAATCCCATGGCCTTCACACACCTACAAACCGCTAAATTCCCACCCCTAAGGCCTTCAGACTGCATGCAGCTAGAATGTCCTGCTGTGTTCCCAGGCCCTGAATTCCCAAAAACCTAATCCCAACCGCCATGCATCTCCAGATAACCATCTACTTCTACGGGGATCGCGAAACTGTCTGGTTTTTGATGTGGCAGTTGCATTCTTGAGCGCAGGCGGTAGCGGACACGGAGAAGGAGGAGGAAAGGTTGGAAAGGCAAGGCTGTGGCGCACTCGTAGACCTAATTCCTAAAACCTAAGCCGTGGAATATGGAGGTTCAAAGCCCGGGGGTATAGTGTGTTTAGGTTAGGGTTTGAGCAGGGTTCAAGGTTCAGGGTTTAGAGGCGTTGCAGGGGAGGTAGGGCATAGATGGTTTCATAGTCATTTGTTAGAACGACTTTTCTCTGGCTTCGACAGGGGCATGTGCAGCTTTTGGTAGGGACAGGTAGTTTCCATTTTCTTTTCCATTATTCCTATATAACCTCTATATAACCTTACCCTGGGAGGGACTGGTCACCTGAGCCGCAATGTGTGGATGGACTTCGGCTTTCCTGCGAGGTTACGTTGGCCGCGTTTCCGCCTTACGACTTTTGACGCTTCACACGTTAGGGAGGTTTAGGGTTGAGCGTTTCATGACACTTGAGCTCAGGACTGAGCTGCATGAGCGCTCTTGCCAACCCTTTCAGATCAGCGTCCAGCTGTAGCATGTTTTCTGAGCCAAGGCCTTTGAACTTTGTTTGGGGTCATGGCTTTCCCTTTGGTGCACCCTGAGCCCTAAACCCTAAAACCTAAACCCCACACCCTAAACCCTATACCCTAAAACCTAAATCCCTAAACCCTAAACCCTAAAACCTAAACCTCACACCCTAAACCCTATACCCTAAAACCTAAATCCCTAAACCCTAAACCCTAAAACCTAAACCCCACACCCTAAACCCTAAACCTTAAAACCTAAATCCCTAAACCCTAAACCCTAAAACCTAAATCCCTAAACCCTAAACCCTAAAAACCCAAATCCCTAAACCCTAAACCCTAATCCCTAAAACCCTAAATCCCTAAACCCTCAGCCTGCGTTTGTGCAGGCGAGTCCACCAGCGGATGGACGAGAAGCGGAAGCTGGAAGAGAAGCTGGAACAGGCGGATGACGGGTGGGCCTCTGCTTGTGGAGGGAGGGACATGAGGACTATAGGCTTAGGGTTTAGGGGTTTAGGGTTTAGGGTTTAGGGGTCACATAGGGGTTATACTGGGATAGTGGAAAAGAAAATGGAAAGTACTATTATATAATGGGTTTAGGGGCCTAAAGAATTAGCAACAAATTCCTTGTACAATTATAGTATAGGATACCTCAAATGGACCTCAAAATTATGTTGGTAATTACTTCGGCCCTTATACTTGGAGCTTCTCAGCTCAGTGGTATCCATGGCAGAGTTGGCGGCAGCAGCAGCAGCAGCAGCAGTAGGAGTAGGCAAAGGAGAATTGAATAAAGACATGGGTGGTTGTCAAAATTATGGTCCCTTTCTGGATCCCTTATTATAATACGGCACCTAATATTTAGGGTACACAAGAAGGGACCAACATTTTGACAACCACCCATATCACCTCCTGGATGGACATCTTTTAAACCTGGGCTTTCTTACATGCCCCCCCAGATGCGGGAATCAATTGAACCCTGAACCCGAAACCCTAAACCATTGTCGAGAAACTCCTGGATCTTGGATTTCGCAGCTTCAGAGGTCTTGAGCCACATACTTCCACAGTCAAAGCCAATGCCGAATCCTCGTGGCAAACCTGCAGCCCTAAACCCCAAGCCCAGAACCCTAGACCCTAAATCCTAAATCCGAAACTCTTAACACTAAATCCTAAACCCTTCCAGGAACAGCATAAGAACCAGAAGTTCGCCCAGGACTCCGGAGTTGCCTTACAGATATTAAGCTGATACGAGCTAATGGGATCAGGGTTTAGGGTTTCGGGTTCAGGGTTTATGAGCTACAGTCTAAACTCCTAGTATCCCCCCTTAATAATGGAGAATCAAATGGAAAAGAACATGGAAAATGACATGGAAACTGCTATAAGGGTTATGTAGGGGATTATAGGGGTTATAGTCTAAACTCCTCGTATCCCGCTCAATATCCCCTATAGTAGTCCCCTATATAATCCCCTATGTAACACCTTGTAAGGAGTTTAGATTGTAGCTCACATTGATCTAGGACTATATGGGTGTTAGCTTGGGTATTTGGGGATATGCAGGCTTAAGGGGTTAAGGTGTGGGGTTCGGTGTTTGAATTGGCCTCCTCTGGCCTGACATGGAGCTTTACAATCTGCGGTGTTCCTTTTTCATCGGGCAGTCACACAGTCCACTTTACCTGAATGGCGTCTTCCATCAAGAGGAAGAAATATTACATACCCCAATATAGTGGAAGCTTTCAAAACGAAAGGACTTTTCTAGCGATGACACCAATCCGCTGCCTGTGGCACAAGCTTCGTAGCCTAAACAATAAACCCTCAAGCCCTAAACCATACGTCGATGATATTTAGACAAGAACCGGGGCTTGAGAATGAAAGCCTACGCTGCAATCATAAGTCCTGAGGCCCAAGCCCTGAACTATAGCCCATTAAGCTTGCACCGCACCGAGAATTGGTTCTTGGGGTTGTCATGTTTATCCGGTTTTAGGGTTTTATGCTATAGGGCTGAACTACACCGAGAAGGAGGTTTTGGAATCAAATTGGCCGATGAGGCCGATGAGGGTTCAGGCAGGCTAAACAAGGCGCACCAAGCGACGGGCCCTTCTTCCAACCCAGGGAATATCAGGCTGAGTCAAAATCACGGGCATAACTATTGCAGAAATCCCACTGCCACTGGATGTAACTTGTGTAGAACCTGTCTTGCTGTCCGCCAAACAAACATGGGATCTGAAACAGAGGCCTTTGCTGGCTAAGGGTTTAAGGTTCAGGGTTTAGGGTTCAGGGTCTAGGGTTCAGGGTTCAGGGTTTAGGGTTTAGGGTTCAGTCCACATCATTTTTCGGGTAGACTGTCTGAGCGCAGTTCCTGTTACATGGTCTTGATTCTTTCAAAGAGATTTTAGTTTTCCAAGCGGCTGCTTGCAAGACCGTCAATGAATAGCTTCTTGAAGTAGGAGTAGAACACATCTGGATATTGTGCGGGTGAGTATTCCTGTTATTATATCTTGTTTTAGGTAATTTTACGTTATTGGATTTTGTATTCTTTGTGTTTCTATTCTCCTTATTCTTAAATCATACCATAACACCGATGCTGTCCAACTTGCACAGGAGAGCGAGGAAAAGGAGCGATTGCTCAAAGGCCGAAGGCGCACTTTTCATGGCCTTGGGAGCACTTGCTTCAAGCGCCAAAACCCTAGGCCCCAGACCATAAAGATTGAAGGTTTGGCGTTCAAGGTTTGTGTCTTCAATCTTAAACACAACGCTATCTGTGCAATTGAAAAGGGGCCCATGCGTCATGCCCACTTGTCCCATCATCTAGCCCTCCTACCCTCTTGATTTTCGAACATTCGCATAAGCCCGGGCGCAAGTTTGTATTCTTTGTGTTCATGGACAGTTTTTGAAGGGAGGTTCCGATTGCATCTAAGATTTACGGTGCCATGCATTTCAGGGCACTGTGCAAGTGGATCATGATCTTTAAGCATGAGTCACACTTCTCTCCAGCACCTTGTATCATGTAGAACCTTTATAGAAAACTTATATAATCCCTATATTGTCCTTATAGAACGCTATACTACCAGGAACATCATTCTCTAGGCTGCCTTACTGTAGAACCTTAAGCTTTGAACCCAGATCCCAGAACACCTTAAGTTGCCCGACCCCAAACCTTAAACTCAACCATCATCAGTATACACTTTTTGAGCTGAGGGTTAAGGGTTAAGTGTTCAGGGTTTAGGGCTTCGGGATTTAGACAAACCCGGAGCCTTAAGACCCAAAGCCTACATCGGGATCACGTTGACCAACTGAGGATTTAGGGTTTAGGGTTTCAAGTAGCAGCGACTCTATCCCAAACTGCTTCAACTGCACGACATCATTGTGCTGAGCTGGGCTCTCCAGGTAAGCACCAACTTAACATGGAATATTTGAGTCCTCATATTCAACCCTAACCTTACAGTAGGGAAGGGGGAAATGAAAACTTACAGCAATCCTTCGGAGAAACCAGAACTGTCCCCAAAGCCTATTCCTGCATCCGCCAAGCCTTCCCCTACTGTAACCATGGTGATGACATTCTTGTTTTACCTTGTTTTAACATAGGCGTGGATGGTTTTTAAAAAGGGGGAGGTTAGGGAGGCTGCACACAAAATGATCCGCACAGCTTCCTCTGCTGCAAACATGGTAAAGGCATGTTTTTTGGTGCCATATGCATGGACGGCTTTTAAAAAGCGGGTGGAGGGGGGGGGGGCGTTGGGCCAACCTCCCATTTGCAAACAACACGGTCCGCACAGCTTCCCTCTACTGCAACCATGGTGGTGACATGATTTTTTACCGTAAACCGTAAGCATGGATGGCTTTAGCAAACGGAGGCGGGTGGGGGAGAAGCCAAGAAAGCCTGCAAGCAGGAGACGCTAAGAAGCCAGAAAGCCCAGAAGCCAAGAAGCAAGCGGGCCGAAAAGCTCAGAAGCCGTAAACTGAAGACGCCGGAGAAGCAAAAAAGCCAAAAACAAAACACTACCACCAAACAACAAAAATACTTCAAACATATCGTTCCGCCATAGATTAGATAGCACTTTCCATGTATCTTCCATTCCTCGTTTACCACCAGCAAGTAGTTCCTTCCTTCACCATTCGCAGGGATGAGCTCCAGAGATCCCGAAAGGAAAAAGAGAAGGTCATCAAAGCCTACGAGGTTCCATTCCTACCTAAAAAGCTCTAGGGCTTAAGGGTTTGTATAGATGTTGATGTGTTGGGGTTGCGGCTTGAGGTGTGCGATTTTGGAGTTTCAGCTTGAGCTTTGGGATTCAGAGCTTGGGTTGTGTGTCTTGGGTTTAGGGTTGTAGGCTCTTAGTCTTAGTGACTTGGGCCCAGACGATCAGGGGTTACCTTCCATCTAGTTCGGATTTTTTTTAAGGGCTTGGGCTTCGGAGATTTATATTTCAAGGTGTAGACGTCCAGGGTTTACCCTGAATCCAAAACCCTAGACCCTAAACCCTACTCAAAACCCTAAACGCTAGGTTTAGTGTTTGGGGCTGAGGTTGGATGAGCTTGGGTTGGGTTTCCTTGAATGCTGTTGGGTTCCCCTTCTGCCCCTCCCATTACTAATCCCATCTAATCCCCATTACTAATCCCTGTTCATTCTCCCGTATTTACCTTTTAACTCAATTGAATTATGTTGGGGGTACCGGGGGAACCCATGAAATGAACATGTTACAGGCTCATGTTTTTTGACTTCCTTCCAGAGTACGGGTTCCGAAATGTCGGCCTGCCCCCTTGTTGGAACAGCAATTTACGAAGACTCCCATACAGAAGCTTGGAATAATGACGATGACATTGGGCTGACATTCACTGTATTCTTTGAAGGAGCGCGACCGATATGTATGGACTCCATAAGTCAATAGCTTTTGAAGAAGGCTGCTTGAGTTGATAAGCTCCTATGGTAGCTTCGATTTTCTTTTCCATTATCCCTAGAAACCCCCAATATACTACAGTAGATTCCATTTGATTTTCCATTATCCCATCGTGTCTAATCAGCATGGCTTGGACCAGCATGTGGCGGCTGCGCATACTTGAGGTCTGCTCAGTCTGCTCTGTGCCGTGCTCATTGAAACACAGCTATTCAGAGACTCCGAAGAAGAGACCGCAGTTCCCACATCGCGGTTTAGGGTTCAGGGTTTAGGGTTAAGGAACCAACAGTACACCCTAAACTCCCAAACCATACACGCAATGCAGACCTCGGATTCATCAACCTCCACGCCGGATCACATGACCATCCAACTATTTGGGTTCAGCGTTTATGGTAAATCAGTCGTCTACTGCTTGACCGCAAGGCTCAAAAAGGACCCTTAAGGAAAATCATAAGGACTGAGGCGTAAACCCTAAACCTCTTAGATCCTGAATCCTAAGTCCAGTAGTCTGAAGGTTCTCAAGAAGAAAGACAAATCAACGGAAGAGGAACGGCAGAG